CTCACCCCCCACGTCACTTTATTGATTTTTTTTTGCCAAAAAAAAAAAAGAAAAAAAATTAATAATTGTCATTCTTACTTTAAAAAACTCGTATTTATTATTATTATTATTATTGTTATTATTATTATTATTTTCATCGTGAAAAAAACAAACGCGAAAACAACAACCACCGAATAAAGTTAATTTTTTTTTTTTGGAAAAAGAAGTCTCCAGAAGGAAAGAAAAAACGAGGTGGAAAAAATTTTTGTTTGAAAAATAAAAAAACCTCGCAAATAGTTTATAATAAAATTATTATTATTATTAAAATCAGTCATGGAAATGTCTGGAATGATCGTAAGGATAAATAAATAAATTTTACTATATTATTATCAATATTATCATTTTCCAGCGTGACTCAATTAAATTTTTGTTGGCACTTTTGCCACGTTTTTTGAAAAAACTAGAAAAGTGATTCGTTTATAATTTAAAAAAAAAAATTTTAATAATTTAAAAGGAAAAATATTTTTCTTTTAACTCAATGGAAATTATAAAAAAGGAGGGAAAAATATTCGTTTGTTCGTTTGTTTGTTGTTAAGGGAAAGAAAACCAAATTTTCACGCGTTGAATATTTTCAAAAATTTTATAAATTATTTCCAGAAAAATAATTCAAAATAATATTTCAAAGTTATAAAAGTGAAAGAAAATGTATTAACACTCGGTTGATCTCAATTATTATCATTATCATCATCATCATCATCATTATCATCACCGTTATCATCGTTATCAAAATTCTAGATTTCTTTTAAGAAAAATTTTCCGAAAACTCCAGAGGGAAGGAAAATCGAACACGGATTTCGTACGAATACCAACAATTATTATTACTATTATTATTATTATTATTATTATTATTACTATTATCATTAATTTTTTTAATTTATGTATTTTCAATCGGGTGAAATATTTATGACGTCATTAATTTCAACGTTAATAATTAATTACGTCATAGGAAAAAAAAACGTTTAAATATCGAATCGACGAAACAAAGAAAAAGTCGTTTCTGTTCCCCTGAAATTTTGAAATCAATTTTTTTTTTTTTAATTTTCATCTTCCTTATGATGATGACCTTTGACCCTTTCCCCTTCCCACCTCCTTCTCCCCACTTCCCCACCCATCTATAACTTCCTAATAAAAAATTAATAATTAATATTTATGGGCGTTAATAAGAAGAAAAAAAAACAAAAAAAAATTAATGACAATTTAATAATTTTCTTTTTTTCCTCCTCTCTCCCTCACTCTCTCTCTCTTTCCCTCTCTTCTCCAGAATTCCAGAAAAAAAGGAAAAAAATCGGGGGGAGGGGTTGAAAAAAAAAGGAAATTGTTTCCTTTAAAAAAAAAATTTAATTTTCTTTTTTTAACTTATAAAAATATTTCGTAGAAGAAAAAAAAATAATAATGATAATAATTATGACGGGGGGGGGGGTTTAAATACAAAAAAAAAGTTTTTTTCTTCTGCCACGACAAAATTTTTTTTTTTTTTTTTTTTTAATATCGTAAAAAAAAATAAAACCTCGCGTAAATTAAAAGGTTTGAATGTTAATAAAAAGTTTTAAAAAAAAAAAAAAACGAAAAAAGGGAAACAAGCGGAAAACAAACGGTTGTTTAAATTTTATATAAAACAAACAACAACAACAAAAATGTAAAGAAATTGCTATAATAATAATAATAATAATAATAATTTGAAAAGAAATTTTAACGAATTTAAATATTTCTTAAGAAGTTTATTTATTTGTTAGTTTCTTTTCGGGTCAAACAAACGACAAACAAAAGTAAAAATTTTTAACAAATATAAAAAACTTTTCGACGAATTTTAACAAAAATGATTTCAAATTAATAATAATAATAATAATAATAATAATAATAGTAATAATAATTTTTTGCTTCCGTTTAAGTGATTTTATTTTATCACGAACTAATTAATTAATTGATAAAAATTAATTGATAATTGAGAATAAAAGCAGACGACAAAATTTTCATTTAAAAAGGTTTTTGCCACAATATTAAAAATAAAAATTTTTTTTTACGTTTTTTCCGCCTTCCACCTCCCTCCCTCCCTCCTCCCGGTAAGAAAATGATAACAAAAAAAAATTTTTTTTTTTTTTTCGTTTTTTGTGGTTTTTCTCACGTTTTTCCCCTTCCTTCCTTCCAGGATTAATTAGTGATAGTGCATATTAAATTTTTTTTCTCTTTCTTTCTTTTCATTTTCCTTTCTCTGGAATAATTCCAGACGATTCCAGCAGACACACACACACACACACACGCGAATTAATCGGTTTTTGTCACGACAGACGGAAAAAATCCTTCAAAAAAAAAAAAATTTTTTTTTTTCTTTCTTTCTTTCTCGTCTTGTTTGTTTGTTTGTTTTTTTCATATAAATAATTATATATTTATAAATGGCGTATTGATTCGTTATAATAATAATAATGATGATGATGATGATGATAATAAATAATCCGACGTTTAGTTAAGGATTCGTTAAATTTAATTTTAAAAGTTTAATTAAGGATGAAATTTTGATCTTTGGTATTATTGCGTTTGTTTGTTTGTTTTTTTGCAATTTATTATTTACGCCGCCGTTTGTATACGTTTGTCCGTATTATTATTATTTAAAAAAAAAACTTTTTTCGTTTGTCGAAACAAATTTTCAATCCAGGATTTTCATCGTTTCAGTTGCGAAAAAAAATATTTTGAAAATGGAAAAAATAGAAAATAGGCGGTGGCTACAACAACCGCAACAACCGTTCTACTTATTAATATAATTAATAATTTAATAAAAAATAATAATAATAATAATTTTTTTTCTCTAATGACACGTTTAAACCGGTAATTAAAACTCTCTTGACGTTTGCCCACGACGTTTCCTTTTTTCCTTCTTTTTCTTCTGTTTTTCTTTCCTCCATAAATTTTCCAGATTAATTGAATGAATTTTTTTTGTACTCAAATTAAAAATCACACAAAAAAAAAAAAATTTATTACGCATATAAAAATCTCAACGTGTTTGTTTGTTTGTTTGTTTGCTCTTTTTTTCTTTTCCTTTTATTTTATTTTTTTATAACTTTTTTGAAATGTAAAAAAAAGAAAAAAAATGAAATGAAATGAATTAAATTAAAATGAATTCTAATTTCCTTTTATCATCATCATTATTATTATTATTAGGTTTTTCGTCGTAAAAAAAAAAAATTAAATAATAATAATAATAATAATAATAATAATAATAACGATGATGAAATACTATTTCGATAATTTAAGTTAAATGCAAAAAAAAAAGAAATTCATAAGAAAATAAAAAATAATAATAATAATAAAAGATTATTAAGTTATTAATCGGAGAGGGGGGGGGAAGATTTAATAAAAAAGACAAGGTACAAAGATATATAGAGTATGAAAAAGAGAGAAAAAGAGAGAGAGATAAAGAAAAAAACCACACACACACACACACAAGTAATAATAATAATTTTTATTTAGATTTTTCCTTATGACACGACGCCGTTAAAAAATAATAATAATAATAAAATAAAATCAACCGAATAAATCAAATCCGGTCCTACCCGGTCCTATGATTTTTCATCATCATCATAATCATCATCATAATCATAATCATAATCATAATCATAATCATAATCATAATCATCATCATAATCATAATCATAATCATAATCATTATTATTATTATTATTATTATTATTATTATTATTATTATTATTATTATTATTATTATTATTATTATTATTATTATTATTATTATTATTATTATTATTATTATTATTATTATTATTATTATTATTATTATTATTATTATTATTATTATTATTATTATTATTATTATTATTATTATTATTATTATTATTATTATTATTATTATTATTATTATTATTATTATTATTATTATTATTATTATTATATATTATTATTATTATTATTATTATTATTATTATTATTATTATTATTATTATTATTATTATTATTATTATTATTATTATTATTATTATTATTATTATTATTATTATTATTATTATTATTATTATTATTATTATTATTATTATTATTATTATTATTATTATTATTATTATTATTATTATTATTATTATTATTATTATTATTATTATTATTATTATTATTATTATTATTATTATTATTATTATTATTATTATTATTATTATTATTATTATTATTATTATTATTATTATTATTATTATTATTATTATTATTATTATTATTATTATTATTATTATTATTATTATTATTATTATTATTATTATTATTATTATTATTATTATTATTATTATTATTATTATTATTATTATTATTATTATTATTATTATTATTATTATTATTATTATTATTATTATTATTATTATTATTATTATTATTATTATTATTATTATTATTATTATTATTATTATTATTATTATTATTATTATTATTATTA